AAAAAAAAAGAAAAAAAAAACGCATACCCAGGCTGTCAGAGAATGGGTTTACGGACTAATTAATATAAACATGATTATAAGTTGATTCCTTGTCATTTGAGATGTAACTTAAAGCTTAATAAAGTGTTGGGAATAAGTAGCCTACGTAAAATTATTTATTTGACAAACAACGAAACAGTGTCACACACCGCGGCCTTGAGTGAGCGGAGGCCGGAGTCCTAGAGTGAGCGGAGGACAGCTTGAGTGAGCAGAGGCAGGCGGGCTTGAGAACGGCGCGGCCGGCGGATTAGACGAAGGAGCGTTCAGCGGGCTTGCGGCAACCACATGTGACGACCCCGGGCTGGACTACGCTTCGTCCATGGTGAAAGCCGATCCGGCGATCCACATTGCGAAGTTGATGTATTTCCTCAGCGACCAGCATGGTTCAGCTCTAGGCATGACAAAGCAGCTATCGCCCTCTTTTGGAAGCCCAAACAAAGTAGTTTTGCTTTCACAACGAAACACACAGTGCCTTCACGACATGGCGCTATGGCAACAACAATACTACAGTGAGAATAAAAGTTACGCCTTCTTTCTTTGTGTGAACATTTGGGCGGCGTTATGCAAATCTTCCCACATCGTGACGTAGACATGTTATTACACTTTCAGATAAACATCATTTACTATTTAAAAAAAAAAATTTCCTCGTGGGGACCCCACAATGTCAAACATTTCAGGTTTTACTATCCTTGTGGGGACATTGCCATAATGTAGCATAAACAAGTACACAAACACACACCTTCACAGCGCTGAGCCGAACTGCCTTCCAGATGCTTCCGGCAAACACAGCAGAACCTCTTCTTCTGACCGGCGGGACCGAAGCAGTGCGCTACAGGAACCTATACCACAAACAAGGAGAAGAATGATTAATAAAATTAAATCTGGGACTCGTGCTGCCTTCGAGTGCACCAGTGAAACTTGTACCTCCGAGTCAGATGTTCACTATTACAACATTTAATTCGGAATCATAACATGGAATTATCTGAAAACACAAAATAATGATATTGTGAATATTATTCATATTGTTAACTATTATTCACAATAGCATTATTTTTCCGGCAAACACAGCAGAACCTCTTCTTCTGACCGGCGGGACCGAAGCAGTGCGCTACAGGAACCTATACCACAAACAAGGAGAAGAATGATTAATAAAATTAAATCTGGGACTCGTGCTGCCTTCGAGTGCACCAGTGAAACTTGTACCTCCGAGTCAGATGTTCGCTATTACAACATTTAATTCGGAATCATAACATGGAATTATCTGAAAAAACAAAATAATGATATTGTGAATATTATTCATATTGTTAACTATTATTCACAATAGCATTATTTAGTTTGTTTACAGCAACTAATTACATCTGAATCCAAAAGGAAAATATTAATTTCTATCACTTAAGTATACATGGCATCACAGCTGTATCTGAAGCAAACCATGAATATTAAATGATTAACGCCATGCGCAAAAGGCTTGGCTTTCGCTAACAGATCTCTATATGGATTACAGATACAATATCATTTATATTATATCAGTGTTTCCTCCATGTTGCAAATCGACACATCACTTCCAACATCACAACTTGTGTAACATCTAGAATTCTGAGTTTCCCATCTGTAAATACAACTTTAATTGGTCATTAATGTAATTGAAACTCGTCATTACAATATTTCCAACTCCACTTGAAGGGCACACTGTGCTAGTCCAAATTGAAAATAACTCAGTCACAAGGCTATCTTCACATTGTCTGGGAGGTCTAATTCACTTAAAGAAATCATTAGATTAAAAAAAAGGGGTTCAAAAATGATTCAGTGATCTGTTTGAGTCATTTCTATGTCCACAAGAAATCTACACACTACTCGGCAGATTTGGAAAGTTTATGCATGCCAAAGAATGCAGCACTCTCGGGTTCTTCAGTTTAACACATTTTACCATATTTTGAGATTTCTATCTCAAAACCCACACAGAACATGTCTCAGCGGATTTCATCTGTGCCTAGTCATCTGCATACCATTTATCTAAAGTTTTCAGTCTTCCAAATCAGTTTGAGTCATTAAAAATAACTAGTCACAAATCAGACACGAGTCACGACTAATAGGCTAGTCGTGTGTCAGTGAGCACTGCGCGATCAGTATGTACCTCTGTGAGGTAGTGTGTAGTGTGAATGGTGGAAAAGCGCGCGGATTCCCGCACTTCCTTCCTGTCTGGGGGAGGGGAGTAGAAATACAGAAGGCATTTAGGATTTAAATAGCTGATTTTTAAATTATTTTTGATCTCATGTACCAGTAATAAACTTTGATGTACAGCAATGCATGTGTAAAAATAACTGAATACAGAACGGGAAGTGCCGTATACCACATGCACCAAACATGGGCCATTCTTAATGTTCAGTTTCAGATTACAGTAAATAACATTCAGATAAAAGTGAACATAATACAACACTGAAACCTAATCCTTCCTCTGTTATTCTTCAAGCTTTATATTTAAAAGCATTTAACCTGTTTAAAAAAAAACATATGCAATTATATGCACTCAAAGAAAAGCCAAATCGTCTGAGTGGTTCTCCCTCTCCTTCCACATATTTACTTCCTATAGAGGCCCCCTTTACATCTAACATGCAATTTTGGTTGATCGGTTCAGAATCAGGTAGCATCTGACCACTTCAAAATCTAAGTTTAAATGCACTGTGATCAGATCAAGGAAACCACATCTGGATCATTATTGCATACAACAAAGAATATGTAATCAGGGGCGGATCTAGAAAATAATTTTTAGGGTGGCAAAGGGGTAGCATGGGGTCTAGGAGGGGTGGCAACACCAAAGCAAGCCCCCATGCATAGTTTTTTGGGATTTATGGTCTGACATACACAGTTGTGTTCACAAATATTGTATTACCATTAAGTAATCATCTATACAGTTTAAAATGAAAAATAAATAATAACATTTCAATATTCATCATGGCACCAAGTAAATGCACAATATAAAAATACTTCAACAGGTTATAAATGTTTCTGAGCTTTTATCACCAAAGACGACATGTGGTTCTATTAAAATTAAATGGGCTACTTAGATGGTATAATCACGTTTAGTGCAAGTTTAAGAGCAACAAAAACTTCTGAATTTCCTAACATTAGAAAGAAATACAATAATATCAAAGCACTGAAACTGGATCGAAACAATGTTTGATTTTCTGTTATTAACAGAGGTGGGAATGTCTGTAATCACTATCAAGTCAACCATATACTCTAGCAACACCCCAACAACTGCATAGCAAGAGCCTAGCAACCACCCAGAATATCCTAGCAACTGACCAAACCATTTACGTTTTTTAAACAAGACTTTAAGACAAGCCAGCATACATTTGTCTTTCAAACTTTTCAATCTAGTTATTACAGTTTTTCTTACAGTTTTTTTTCAACTGCTTACACACATTTTCAAAACTTTGCCTTTTTTTTTTTTCAAAACTTTACACACAAAACCAAGAATTGCACACATAAAATGCAAAATGCCTCACATTTCTTGCTAAATGAACAGCACTGCATTCAAAATATCACAAACACATCTCAAAAGCAAACATTTGCAAACACCTTTGCCATAATAGTAATTGCTGTTAGTGTTTTGTGTGTTACATAGAGAATTGTGTGTTGCGTTTTGCAAAAAGTGTTTTATGAAATTGAAAGTCAAAGTCAAAGGCCAAATTAGTGTATGGTTTTGGAGATTATGTCTGTGGTTCTGGTGTTTGAGTGTCAGGTTTCAGAAATTGTGTGACAACAAGTAAAGATTTTGTGTGCAAACAGTTGAAAAAAGAACTGCGATACTGCAGTCCCTGCAGAACTGCAATCCCTCGGAAAACTCTAGAACCACCCTCAAAAGTCTCAATTTTTCACAAAATGTCGCCAAATATGAAAACAAAGTAAATATGGTAAAGGTAAAGGAAAGTAAAGCAAAAACAAAAACTTTATTCATACAAACTTATTTCAGTCAACACACTCTATTAAAAGTAAGTGCAAAATACTGCATCCCAGCACACATGATGCACTGTGTCTCTATCTCAGTATCTGGTTGATATGACTGTGCATGAATTGTATAACTTTTGTGTCCGTGGTTAAAACAAGATGTTCATGCACGGAGTAGTTGGTGCCCTGGTGTAATCAGAAGAACACTGAGAAGATCAAAGGTCTGGACTCTCAGGTGGTTTTGCCTGAGCATGAGCGTGGGTTTCACAGTACAGTTCATCATCTATGAAGGGTTTTCCCTACATTCTGTACACACGAAACAGTCTGGGTGACGAAACTTATCCTGAACCTTCACAACCATCCCACTGAGAAAACACACAGAGCCAAAAGAAAGAAAGAGAAACGGAGAGATGCCTTTGATCAGAAAAAGGCTTTGCACACACCATGTGCTTGGAGGTCAGTGAATGTTTAATGAGATCTGACTTCTTAGCATTTTGTATGACTCTGCAGTATTTGCAAAAAGCTTTTGATGCATTTTCCATAATAGGCTGCAGCCAGTCTTTAAATGCAGGTTCTTGCAACCAGCAATTTCTAAAGTGCTGCTCATTTTTTTCTCCGCCATCTTAATTGATGCCTATAATGAAATTGTGGTGTGAGTCATGGCAGGCGTGGCGTACTGGCGTGTTCACTGCGCAGACTCATCGGCATGATTGAGAGCAAACGTGAGAGGTCACGGGCCTACGGCAGCGTGTGGCCAAGTAAAAAATAAAAAAATCTCCAAAAAAATCACTAGTTTTATTTAAATATAGCTAATTAGCTCCTTGTGGCAAAAAAAAAAAAAAAAAGTCGCAGCTACAATGAGAAAGTAGCTAAATTTGGCGACAAAATCCACGCGCTTTGTGGTTTTGACTCAAAAAGATCCGGTTCATAAGAGTCATTTGCTAATGAAGCCGACTACACTGGCACGCTGCGTACGCGTGCGCGTGCAACCATCATGCACTTAAAAGATGTGTTTTTGCCATTATTTTGCGTTACTCTGTCATCGGCGTGGCTGAAAAGTAGAACATGAAACACTGCTTACATTTATATTTTATTCTGTGAAAATTCTGGGGTGGCAGGTGGGGTGGCACAGCTTTTTCTTAGGGTGGCAGTTGCCACCCCAGTAGATCCGACCCTGCATGTAATATTTAAGTGCTGTTGTCTATTTTGCACCAATTCATCATTATTATTAATTTTCAAACGATTCTGGACGATACACAAAATTTCAGCATTTGATAAAAAAAAAAGAGAAAGCATAATGACAAAATGGTATGTTTCTGCTGCCGCATGTACTGTATACTGTAAAACAATGCATCGCGCTTTGTGGTTTTGACTCAAAAAGATCCGGTTCATAAGAGTCATTTGCTAATGAAGCCGACTACACTGGCACGCTGCGTACGCGTGCGCGTGCAACCATCATGCACTTAAAAGATGTGTTTTTGCCATTATTTTGCGTTACTCTGTCATCGGCGTGGCTGAAAAGTAGAACATGAAACACTGCTTACATTTATATTTTATTCTGTGAAAATTCTGGGGTGGCAGGTGGGGGGGCACAGCTTTTTCTTAGGGTGGCAGTTGCCACCCCAGTAGATCCGACCCTGCATGTAATATTTAAGTGCTGTTGTCTATTTTGCACCAATTCATCATTATTATTAATTTTCAAACGATTCTGGACGATACACAATTTCAGCATTTGATAAAAAAAAAAGAGAAAGCATAATGACAAAATGGTATGTTTCTGCAGCCGCATGTACTGTATACTGTAAAACAATGCATTTACACTGATGTAGATGCATCAGATGCATTGAGAATCACATTGGAATTGGATTGTGACTTAATGGAATGAACCAAATTGATTCACAATGGAATCCAGCTAAATAACATCCAGAATAAAAATTTACTTTTAATGTGAGCATAGTTTGAGCTTTCAAAGACCCAAAGCAAATTGTTCTGATATAGTGAAGAGATGCAGTGACAAATCCCAGCCGGGCTGTCTTGTTGCATGTGCCCATCTGTAACGACAGTCGTTGT